TTAGTAGAGCAGGAAAGAATAAGACTATCTTTGATACAGAAGAAGAAGGATTAGCTGAAATACTGTCGCCATAAGGAGAGCCAGATAGGCCTTTGTACCGCCTTCTGTCTTTATCTTGGTCGTCCTGTCTCACCTGGTCCATTTGCTGGACAATTTTTAGTACTTAGCTTTGAGGCAGAAGTTGCTGACCTCAGACAGTGACCCATGTCATTACCACTGAGACTATATATATATATATCTGTAGGAGCACACACACAAAAACCAAAGAGGACAAAAACATATTGGAAGGACACAGACAGTCGTAGCAGATGCGAGGGAGGGGGGGGGGGAGTGATAAGTCAATGAGAGGAAGTTACAGAACGCATTTCGGAGACAAAGAGGACACAAGAAATAAAGAGGATGGAAAGAAAGGCAGGAAAAATTAGATCATGAGTTGAGCACAAAAGGTGGAGAGGCGGCCAAAGAGAAGCTTCTTCAGAAACGAAAATGGATGTGCGGCGTGAGAAAGGATTCAAAGCCGAACCACGCCAAGCGGATCCGTTCTCATGTTCGCCGATCGAAGGTCAGTCTCATTTGTACCGCGCGGAGACGAAGGGGTCCTTCAGTGGACGAAAAGAGAGCGGGGAGCACAATAGAGGATGAAGATGATGGGGGAACATTGAAGGTTGATCCAATCTTGTGTGTTCTTGTCACAAGGCAGACATGCACACACCACCAATTGTTGTCAGAAAGGGAATACATTTTGACTGCCAAAAGTGCTTCTCATGAATGTTTCATGCGCAGCGCTCAACATGAAAAGACGGCCTTCAGCGGTGAAGAAAATGCATGGTTGAAGGCTTCTGGTGAAGTCCTTGCCAAGGTTCTTCCTCCCCAGGTCGCTCTTTCAAGGCTGAACAAGGAGCTCTTGCAGATCTGGAGCCCGAAATGACAGCAACACTTTTAAATTCTGAATAAATCAAACCCCTAAATGTATCAAGGGTGAGAAAAGACAAAGGACTGGTGTTAAGAGACCTCCTCAGATTAATTTATAACAAGTAATTAATAAAAAGAAGAAATTAAAATTGT